AAACCGGGTAGAGGACAGGGTTCTCTGTATCTTAGCTGTTCCTAGGACTACTTTGTTTTGGAGAGAGACCTCTGATGTTGTGCCTGGAGTGTTTGGGAGTGACAGCTCCTAATGCTTTTATTGGTGATTTTTATTGGTACTTCTTTACTTTCATGTCAGAAGGGGCCCAGAGGCCAGTACAAGGAAGTGGACCCAAGGGCAGACACAAAAACAAACAGTAATAAGGTTTTACAGGCTTTACTGTAAACACAGAGATGAGAAATGACAAGACGTGGGTTCATCTGAGAGCACTATAGTTAGACCCGTAAGTAATACCTGTAATACAAGGGCTTGAGAGCAATATTTATTCTGTGGGCTTACTTGCAGGCCATTCCAAGGAATAGATTTCAGAGAGGTGCAGAGAATCTTGCCATGGAGGCCAGCGTCCAGGTAACTGAGCTGCATGTGAGCTGCAAGCTCCTCTTTTTATTGCTCATTGAGCCTCCAGAAGCTGGACTTTGGTTCAGCTGTCTTATTATCACTATACTTACCTACATTAGGAGCTGTGACCCTAAACTTTGAAGAGTGACTCCAGCAGATTCCAGACACAACATCAAATGTCCAAAGGAGTGCAAAAAATGATCCGATACCCAAATTTGAGTCAAAACACTGGACTTTTCTGAGAATTGAGATATTAATGAAGCATAAAATTCAACCACTAAAACTAATTTATCTTCAGGAATGCCAATAACTGTAGTTTGGCATCTTCGCCAAAAACCATAATGCTCTTTATTATTTTTTTCTTCTTTTTGTAAAACATTTGAGAATTCGTGGATAACAAGAATAATTATGTTTCAGAATTAAAAATATGACTTTCAACCAAATGTGTAAGCATACTGGTGGATTATCAACTACAGATAAATAGAAATCATTTCTGTAATTGCTAATACTGTTAATTTAGGGCAGCTGTGCTATAAATCTTGCACAGGTTGGTGGTCTATTAAATTTGTTAACCACCATCAAATATTGGTATCAGTATCCAACTTAAAAATCAGTTCTAGTGATTTTTTGGGAAAATGGCAAATGGCCTTTATTTGTATAGTGCTTTACTAGTCCCTAAGGACCCCAAAGCGCTTTACACAACCAGTCATCCACTCATTCACACACACATTCATTAATTATGTCTAAACATGAGATAAAGATAGTATAAAACAGTAAAAAAAAAGTTTTGAAAAGTGGTATTTTACATCAGGAAGAAAATAAATAAATTGCATGTTAATATTGAGCCACAGGACAATATTTAACAGTGTTCTATGTGCCCTGTGAATAACATGCCTTGCTCTAAGTGCAGTTTTCTTTTG